GTCTTTTTTCCAGGTTACACATGCATCTGTAGTTTAATTCTAAGTTCAATTTGTTATACATGTAATTACAGGATCAACCAAAGAACTGCATATTCCAAGCTCGTGGAACTGACATAACCAGAGGTTTCTAAGCTGTTAAAATTAACTTGCATCCGGTCACAGTAGTAAGTTCTATGATTCAGAATTAAGTCTACTGAAGGCTAAAGAATTTTATGTAATTTCTTAAATCTTCTCACTGTTTGCATTTTCCAGATACATGTATTTCTTATGCGTTTTACCGGCAAATTTGCAAGCCTGCTTTCCGACTACATGCACATGTACACATGTAATAATTATAGACTTGTACACACCTGTTACTGAATATTCAAAACAGCTTGTTTAATTTTGTTCATTGCAGAATTGAATGCTGATTTTTCAATAAAGTCACCATACATTAAGGCTGGATACAAAAAGCTGAGTCCTCAATTCCACTTGAACCTTCCACTTGATACACATGTTTTTCAATTCGTGTCACTCATTGAAAGAAAGACCATACGTACAACTTTCTTTGCGGCATATTCGTGATTGTGGAAAATCGTCATGTTATGAGTGAGACAAGATATGGAGCATAGTTGGTGTGTATAAGCCATTTCGATGTTTCGGGCGCGCACGGAAATGTGGGGTTGAATTTGGAAAAGTAAAACCCACATGGCATAGCTAGCTGGCGTTTCGTGCATGCGAGTTGTGCGGAAGCTTGCGCGAAGATCGATCAGCTGTGTGAAGTAGTTGAACTGTAAGTACCTAATTAAACCAAATTTTCAGCTTTTTGTGCTGATCTTTGTCTAACCTTTGATAAAGTTTTTACTACAACCCACAAAGTCAGTTTTGCTTGGATCATGGCTTGGACGAAAATGGGACTTATGTGAAATATTTCCAAATAGATCAGCGTGCGTGTTCTGGTCCATGATGTACATGTACAATGGTAATGGTACTGCCGTTGAAATTTTCTCGCGCGTATTTTGTTACGCATTTTACCTTTAAACAGGGCCCAACGAATTCTCTTTATAGGACGAAGGATCTGTATTATGAGCCTATGTACATAGGCCTACAGTGAAGTGTTACGGTATGGTATGGGCGTAGGCCTACGAGTACGAACGATGTGCGAGTTTTTAATTGAGTTATTTTCAGCTTTCTGCAATGATATGGATTTAAAAAAAATTGAAGAGATTATGAGGTCACCTGTTGTATATATCCAAGGCACACAATAGAGCATCCTTTTTCTTTTGCAATTTGATGTGAATCGGAACAGGAATTCAAAAAACTTCCTTACTGCCCACTGCAAAACGTGTGTTGCTATGGAACGGTGCGGTTTGTTTATCCAAAAAGGGTTGTCAAGGCCGGTTGAGGCATGCGCGATTGAAACTTCGAAATGGCTTGTTTTGTGGATGTCAGGCACGAAATGTGTGATTTTTACAAAAATTTGTTAACCATTAGGCTTAATCATGTTAATAAAATTAACATCCTCTGATCACGCCAATTTTAATATGATTTGTCATCATCAAGGCCTTCACCCTACATATGCCCCGGGGGTTATGGCTAAAGTACATGACGTATCGGTTTCGTTAGGCCTATTCAAAACATGAAAAACAACTTGGCCTAATGAGGCCTATGGATGATTCCTCCATGGCCTAACATTGGTTACACATGCATCATGCCATTAGCAATGTCATTGTCAGTATTGTCATTGTCAGTGACACAGTCAGACAGTGATGCTTTATCAAAATTCATCATCATCATCACCATCATCACCATCATCACCATCATCATCACCATCATCACCATCACCACCATCACCATCATCACCATTATCACCACCATCATCACCATCATCACCATCATCATCACCATCATCACCAT